CACTTTATGCTTAGGTAAGTTATGTTCGATTTCAGGCGTCTTTCCGAAACCTGCTTCTCAATACGTTCATCTGGCTACTAGGATGTATAACGTTTAGCTTCGCTCACCCCAATTGCAGTCTTTTTTTCTGACGATCCGTTTTATGCACTGAGGCGGCAATTCTTCCATTGTCAAAACTTTTAGTCATTAAAACTTGATAACCAACACAAGCAGCGTCGCACTTTCACCCACCCAAAAAAAAAAGATCACAAGACAACACGATTGGCTGCAGCGGGAAGGACAACAGACGTTTATGGCCAGCCTACATAGGCGCCGATCACCCGTGACGGCAGCGAATTATCGAACCGCGGCACAGCAGCATCAACTAAGCCGGCAGCATTTCTGACGACCGGGGAGGCACCGATTGGCCGGGATAAACGTCGTAAAACCGAGCAATATTACACCTGACATGTACCAGTCACCTGAGCTGTAAAAGGAAAAATGAAGGGGGCATTCACTAACCTGCTCGAGCATAAGCTTCAGGTTCAGGCAGATCAGAAGATGATTCACCCAGGGCACGACCTTCTAGGGCGGCGGCTGAATTTCTTCCAGGCGGTACATCTCCACCACCACTGGCCGCATGATATCGATCGCGCACACCAGATCAGCGGCGAAGTCATCGCCACAGACCTGGTACTCCAGCTCACTGAAGATGTCGTCGGTGTTGTGTCGCATGTCTCGGTGGTCGTAAAGCGCTTTGATGTACGTTGGAAACATGGAGCAAGTGGTCTCGTATGCAGCGTAGTTGGAGCTTGTGAACCCTGTCGCACTGAAGGCTTTGGCTGACAGGGTCTTCACACCCAGTTCGCTGCCGACAGACTGCACAGTGCACAGCCGTGCAGTCTGTCTGCAGTCTGTGCATTTTTCCGCGTCCTAGCTGAGTGTGGAACGCGGCGCATCGGCATCAGAGTATCGCTGTCTTTCAGTGCATCCTTCACTGCAAGATCCATCCAGTGAGCGGCATCCCAAAGGACGGCGTACCACTTGGGCTCCTCCACTACTTCGCCCAAGATGGTGGTAGTAAACCCCCGGCTTTGGTACTGACCGTCCCCGCTGACACCCACCCAGTACTGCTTGTCGACTGAAGGCAGTTGTGCAGCTAGGGTGGAGGCAACCTGTTTGGCCAGCTCATCAGACTTCCCGTCTTTCAAATCTTCATCGAGTTTTGAGTACACCATTGGTGGGGCGTCGATGAAGATGGCGCACCTTTCACCATGGACCATTGGGCAGATCATAATTGACTGGTTGGTCTCTCGTCCTGGGGTCGACTTGTCCATGGTGCACCACCAGTGTGGCGGAAGGCCGGTGGAGGGCAGAGGAGCACTGAGGGCCTCGCTGATTTCGTGGTCAATCGGTTTTGCCACTGTCTCGATCAGCTTCGGGAACGACTTTCTTGAGTGTTGTATGTTGCCAACGTCGCTGCCCATGACGGATGCCGTGGCTACTTCCGTCTCAAAGTGTACAGCTGCGCTCCTCGCCTTGCACACCTGAATTGCGCAGCGTAGCAGATTGCAGACAGCTAACTTCCCACGTGCTATCCTCTTCTCCTCCTCGAGCGCGAATTTGACAGCCCTGAGAACAGGAAGATCATTAAGTTAATCACATGGTTAACACTAACTTTTCAGTAATGCGGCCGATTTACTGAGAAATTCAAATGGCCAACAGTTCAAAATATGACTCACAACGAAGTAAAGTAATATTTGAAAGTAATAAGCTATGGACAATGGACATCTTTTCATAGTTGAAGATCGGATGCACACTTGAGACTTTATTATTTAGCCCGCGGGTGACGGGTATTTTCCATAACGCGGCTGTACTGGGGGGGGGGGGGGAGGAGGGTGGCTCTACAGAGCCCTCACCTATCTCCGAAATTACTGGGCCAATTGTCAAAATTCAAACGGAATCTGATAGCCCTGGATAAACTGTCCCGCGAAACCTAATTTCATTGACCTCGAGGTCACCGATGACGTGTCCATTCTCGTGTCCATTCTCTGCTCTTGCGTTGCGACTACAACTGTTTCTCTTTTTTTTTGCACCGCGGTGGCTCTCCCGTGGCATTCTCTGCTCTTCTGCGGTGTTCTCTTCTCTTCTCTGTCATCTCCCGCAGCGGCATCACCATCTTCCGCAGCGGCATCACCACCTTTCGCAGCGGCATATTTGCCTCCCGCAGTGGCATCGCCATCTTCCGCAGCGGCATCTTCATTTCCTGCGGCAGCGTCATCATCATTTTCCGCAGCGATATCATCATATTTCGCAGCGGCATCATATTTATCATCTTTGACAGCTGCATCACCATCTTTCACATCCGCGTCATCATCTTCCGAAATTCTTGTGAAGCAGCAGCCGCATTTCCTGGCGCGGCAGCTGTGTTTCCGACTGGGTCGCCATGCCGCTTGCGGGGAAGTTGTGCCTCTGGCGGCCCTCGTGCACGGTACGATGGCGGCCCTCGTGCACGGTACGATGGATGAATTACGATGCTCGGTACGATGTATTGGCAACACCCAACTCCCTGGCCAGAGATCGGATTGACCTGCTGGGATCCTGGTCCACCATCTGCTGCACTCACGCCACAAACTCCGGTGTCCTGACGTTAGAGCGAGGAGCAGGCTTTCCACGTTTGGTGTCGACGTCCTTGGGATGTTCAGACACCTAACTTTCTCTTCATCCTGTAAAGCGATGGTCCTGGGTAACCGACCGGCGCGAAGGCCAGCAAGCACGGCCCTTCTTAGTTTCCTCCGTCATCGTTACGTGAAGAGCCTGTCTCATGCAGCTCTTCTGCAACTTGTCGAAGGAATATTCAAAGAAGACCTTAATAAATGTCGTTTTTAACATGGATGAAAACATAAATAGAAAGCATGAAGTGCAGGAAGGCAGGAATAATACCTATGCTCACCGATAGCGCCGTTCCGCTTGTCCTGGTCCAGAGCAGGTCTGACCTCCAGACCTGCCTGGCGGTACTTGTTGCTGTTGCTCGGCCGTCCAGTCATCGATGACGTCCGGAGCACCGGTGTCGTTAACACACTGAAGGGTGGTCGGATATACTCTGTCAGGGTACCCGACAAAGGGAAGCGAAAAAAACAATGAATATAGTTAACAATAAATGAAGTTTTCGCGATTTATGATAAAAAAGTTTATCGTTCAAACACAGACGATCTCATAAAAACTCAGCGCGCTTAGATCACATTTAAGCAGCTGATAGTATATTTCTACAGGGTGTCCGGAAAGTCATGGCGCTTTTCAATTTTTCGCAAACAAATGCGGCTGGTTCATATATATTTAACAACTGGATGAAACAATGATCGGGGACAACAAGAGACATCCTTCCGCCAACTGTTCACTCGATATAGCCGCCGTCGGCGGCGACGACGGCCTCGACGCGGGGGCGGAAGCCCTTGCATGTCTTGACGATGTATGCCGCCTCCAGACCCTCCCACGCTGCCACGATGCGAGCCTTCAGCGACTCCAGGTTGGGATGAGAGGTAGCCTGGACCTCATCCTGCAAGACGCTCCATACGCTGTAATCGAGAGGGTTGAGGTCGGGGGACTGAGGCGGCCACATCTTCTTTTGCCAGAAGTGGTCTGGCCCGCCCAGCTCCTCTGTCAGCTTGGCTTGGACGGCGGCAGCGTTGTGGGCGGGCGCTCCGTCCTGTTGAAACACGAAGTTGCCCTCCGGGTAAGTCGCCTTGATCCACGGGATGACGTGCCTGTCCAGGAGCTCCTCGTAGACCAGCCTGTTGATCTTTTCGTTGGCATCAACGAAGATGATGGGACATTTCTGCCCGTCCGATCCGATGACCCCCAGGACCATCACCTTCTGCGGGTGCTTGTTGACTGGGTTGAACCGAATCCGGGGATCCACTTCGTCAACAGGCTTGTCGGACAAGTAGCGAGAGTTCCTTCGGTTGATCTGAGCGTCGACGTGGAACAGCTTCTCATCGGAAAAGATCCGAACGAAGCTGGAGGTCACTGGGCTCTTTAAGAAGTTCAAGAGCAACTTGCTTTTCTCCAGACGGCGAAGACGCGTGACCTCGGTTAGACGCGGCCTGTTCTGGATCACCCTGGACTTCATCCCCAAATCTTGGTGAATCAGTTCGTGCATGGATGACTTCGGAAAGCCGAACTTCTTTGCCAGTTTTCTGATCGGCTGCCGCGGATTCTCTTCGATTGCCGCTGACACGGCAGCCACGTTCTTGGCAGTTCTGACCGACCGGGGCCTTCCCGATCTGGGGGCATCTTCTAAAGAATCCCCACGTCGGATCTTGGCTTTCACCCGCTGAACCGTTCGCCGAGAAACGCCACATCGTGCTGCGACTTGCGCCTCGGTCATGCCGGACCCGGCCGCCGCGCGCAGACAGCCAGCGACAAGTTGCCTCTTCGTCTGTTTTTCCATGACTGAACGCAATTTCAAGGTCAAATTTACACGGCCCACGGCTGACCGGTCAGTGAGGGGTCACGCCTGCGGTGATTGGCTGATCGTCCACCAATCACAGCGCTCGTTAGACGGCATATAAGAGAAGCGCCAGGACTTTCCGGACACCCTGTATACTCAGCGGAAGAACCACTTTGTGATCTGTGTCATAGAGTTGGTACTGTTATGGGCAAATGTTTTCATCTCGAACGATAGCGTCCCGAAGGACTTGAATGACATTGAATGAAGGGATCTGCTGGTGTGTGTGCTCTTCAGAGACATAAGTTTTTGCCGTGATGATGTCAAGAAGTTAATGCCTGATATACGGCTTTGACTGATTTTGGAACCTGGATGGAAACTTTACATATACTGCAGAACACCTTGAGGATGGCCTCCTGATATTCATTTGGATGTGTGCCGTCCACATGTAAGTCTTCGTCTCCAAATGCGTGAAACTTGAGTGTTGTCCTTTGTCCAGGATAGCACGAAACCATGGCGCATTTGCAGCCCTCGCCCTGTAGTGTACCTGGAACAGTCAAACAGAGTGTAAGTACTAATCCTCCACCAGCGGCACCGAGGTGAAAAACCGGTCCATGGTGACGCTGCGGCCGGTGCCGGCCACCTCCTGGGCCATGTACTTCACCATTTCCGGCACCGATTCGAAGTAGGTGGCCGGTGGTGACTGCTCGGGCGCGGCCTGTACGGCCACATCTTCCACATGTAGCGAGGCTGGCGTCCGCCACCGTCCGGATTAGTAGACCGTACTTGCCCGGTTCACTGGGCATGTTCATCTTGAACGGGCACCTGCTCCTGAACCGAACTCTCGTCGAGCGTCAAACACTCGGACGGTTTGAAGTGTCGACGAAAGTTTTGATCCATCTCGTCGAACACACCTCTGATGTGACACAGTCTGTCACCTGGTGGGCGCTCCTTCCTCGTCTCTTTGTCGTGAAATGACGTGAATTAAATTATCTTGAGTTAAAGTAAATCATAGTCATATATGGCTATGATTTTGGAACCCGAGTGGAAGCTTACTACTGCAGAACACATTGAGGATGGCCTCCTGGTACTCATTTGGATGTGTGCCGTCCACAAAGATTCGTCTGATAGTCCTCGGGACTAGAACGTACGTTGACTAGACATAGGACTCACATCGGGACGTCGTGAAACCCTACGTAAAAGCTCTGCGGGCTAGGGTGGGCGCGCCGAACGGCGGAGACGACACAGGCCGGGATCACCCGGCGCTGGGACCTCCCCAGCGTGCCCCACCTGGAAACGAGAACAGTTTGTATGTTTATGCCTGAACACATGCGCCGGTACGAACACTTCGCTTTCCGTCTACTGGTTAGGCGCGCATATTTACGCGATGAATTGAGATGTACTATGTATATACAGGGTGTTTCGTATAAATTTGACAGTTTTGCTCCTTTAGGTTTTTTTTAAATACACTTCTACTCACCGGCGCACGACTTTGGCGGAAGATGAGGAAGCGAGGGCGAGATGAAGAGCCCTGGTAGCTGACGAGCGCTCGGAACAGAACACGCTTCCCGATCACCACGATCGGATGACGTAAACTGGGACGAACGTCCACACGGTTTACAGGTTGGTGTCTCTCTCAACTGCGCCCCATACGTAGTAGTCCATAGGGTTGCAGTCTGGCGAGTTAGGAGGCCACATGTCCGGGCTGGTGTGGTCGTGGAAATTTTCGGCCAGCCACTTCTGACTCTTCCCGGAGGTGTGGCACGGCGCCGTTGTGAGTCCTGTTGCCACACGTATGGCCGTCCCGCAGCCACCCTCTCCATCCAGGGCCTCATTACCTTGCTCAACAGCTCCACATATCCATCTGAGTTGAGGCGGAGGCCTTCCTTAAAGATGTGAGGGCGCATGACGTCGTCGTCGCTGGAGACGCAGCCGAAGACCATCACCGTCTGGGGAAACTTCGTCTTCATGACCCGGGGGACTTCGTGAGGGCTGACAGCAAGCCACCTGTTATTCTGCGCGTTTTGCAACTGGTCCTGACAAAAGTTCTTTTCGTCGGAAAAGAACCAGAGAGTGCCTGGCTCGACAGGATGCTTCACCTTGTTCAGAAGTTTCTTTGCCTTCTTCAGGCGGTTCTTCCGAGCTTCGTCAGTGAGAAGCTGTCCCTTGCGCCTCTTGTAGGAGTGGTAGCGGAGGTCCTCGTTCAGTGCGCGCTTCATTGTGGTCACTCCGACGTTCATCTCCCTGGCCAAAGACCGAATTCCCTTACCACGGTCCTTCCGCACCTTCTTCTGCAGTTCCTTGACGAATTCCGGTGACCTAGCCACGTCCGATCGCTTCCTGTGTGGCTTCCGGCTTGCCACAGACTTTACATCCCCCTCACATTCCTCCAACTCCTCCCGAACTGTCTTCACAGTGTTAAGAGCGCACTGAGCAGCAGCCACAATGTCTCGATTATCAAAACCGGCGCGTATCATCATGATGCATGTAACTCTCTTCCAATATTCAGGTGGGTTCCAACCATCCATTTTCAAAGATTTTTTTTTCTCCAACAATGAACAACAAAACAGGAGTTCAGATGCACTTTACAGAATCAGAATATTCCGTTTGGTTCTGAAACAAGAGAGAAACAAAAACTTGTCAAATTTATCCGGAACACCCTGTCTGTAGCGTCCCGAGAGGATTGGCAGAGTCTACTGAGAGCGTGTCGTGTCTGGCAACACTAGGAGGCCTAGCCATGCTCGATGCCCCATGGCGACGACTTGCTGCCGTCTCGCTGCGGCTCTTGCTGGACGGCTGATCAGCGGCGTCCACGTCACCAGGGGCAGCTGTGGAGCCGGCACAACACCGGGTGCACCGTTCCCGTTCCCGTTCCCGCCCCACGTACCGCCCCCGTCCCCGCGCTCGAAGCACCATCCACGTCCCCGTCCGACGCGGCGCCGCTGTCCCCGCCCGATCGACATATTTTGAGCACAATAACATGTTCCAAGTTTGGTTGAAACATTGTGATGACTTGGATGCCGCCATCATTGACCTATAATAATTATAATAAGAGACCGATGAGCATATAAAATGAGTAATTATCCAGCTACGGCAGTGGAGTATGCCTTTTTGGCCCCACCCCTGTTCTTTGCATATGTGTACAGTCCACAGCATGTGCTCCCAGTGATTCTATTTCTCTCTCAGTATAGCCCACAGCGTGTGCTTCCAGTGCTTCTATTTTGTCTCTCAGTATAGCCCACAGCATGTGCTCCCAGTGATTCTATTTTCTCTTTCAGTATACTTAGCCCACAGCATGTGCTCCCAGTGATTCTATTTTCTCTCTCAATATAGCCCACAGCGTGTGCTTCCAGTGATTCTATTTTCTCTTTCAGTATACTTAGGCCACAGCATGTGCTCCCAGTGATTCTATTTTCCCTCCCAGTCGCACACCACGGTGATGCCTGGTGTTCCTGGATGGTTGAGATAAAGGCACCATGTCCAACACAGTACCTCCAGCTTGTCATGTATTAAAGAGAGAGCTCACTGACGCTTAACGGCTCTAGGTGAAATAGCAGCTTTGCATCAAGCTGCATACTGCTTTCTACGAATGTCCCAGAATAATTATATCTTTGAAAATAATTCGTCTTTGCGTGGGGGCGTATCTGGAACGTGGCTGCCTGAGTATGGCTCAAGCATGGATGAGATAATAATCGAGAACCATATCAAAAGATGCACGTCTTGTATTCCGTTTGAATCAGCTTTGCTTCGCTGCTTTATTGCTATTCTTATTCTGATGACGGTGCAATATCGAAATATATCAATTTAGTTTTAATTACATCAATTTGCAACATATAACATGAGCATAAGGTTATTCACTCTATTTACATGAATGAATGATAATTGAATGAATTGAAGAAAATGTACTTACCGATGACGGGCCAGCAGCTCCAAAGATCGCCGGTGGCGGCAGCGGCAGGCCGCTGGTCCCCTCAATGGGGGGAGCGGTGCCGAGTCCCTGTACGGCGCACGGAATGCTTGGCGTCAATGGATGACACTTAGATAATTTGACTGATATCTTTTAGTGCCACGTTTTAAATGTAATGTTATTCAAATGGATCGGTTTCCATCGCACATCGTTATGCAATTCTCCTTTCCCTGTATGCTCACCGATGACGGGTCAGCCCTCCTTGAAACGGCGATCTCCGGCGGCCCACTGGTGCCCTCGCCGGGGTCGACGGCGGCGGCTGCTGAGCCCTCGGCATCGGCAGAGGTGCTGGGACCCTGGAAAATAAACAAACAGATGCCGTTAATGCTGCACACAAAAATATAAGGCAATGTAGGTGTTATATCATCCATGGCTCAAGCATGGCGAGCATGTTGCTAGGCAGGGCGCAAAGCATCTCATGAAATGCAGCTCTTCTCTTCTCTACAGCTACCGGTTTCGAACCAGGGACAAAAACCACATATCTGAGGGGACAGCTTCACGCATTCGTTGTTCCATTTTATTGCATAGCATATATTCAGCTTGGGTCTTGCCACCCACGAATTGCGCGTTGCCATTGTATACGCTTTGCAGCCTCTCTTTCACACATTGCAGCCAAATCTTTCTCTCCTTATTACATCGTGACGAGTGCTGGACTAGCAGTATTCCACACTGCTCACTGCTCATATTAGTCATACTTGCTATTTTAATTCCGTATCACGCTTCAACCACGATTAACACTGAAACTTTCGCCACCTCGCTTCCCCCCCCCCCCTCCCTAATCACGCTTTGAAATCTCGCTCGCGCCGCCGCTCGGTATCACTCTTTTTGCTATGGAAATTGTTGTCCCCAGGGGTCGCCTACTTTGCTGTCTCGAGGCGATTAACTTGACGAAGTAGTTACATCGAGGTGCCCTGATTAGGCTCAAACCTATTCCCATAAGGTGCTACCAACAAGCATTAGCAGTGCGTGCATACACTTGAAGCGAAACTGCGTGGGATCAGGGTTGTCCATATCCCCACGTTTCTGACGAATGATATTTGCGGCGATGCTTCTCGACCACTCTAGGAAGGCACTGTTTCTGCTCCTCAGTTTTGGCAAGGGATAGGTGAAGTACATCATGGCAACGCCGTGCTCCTCAAAGTCGTTGACAATTTCCCCGTACCGTTTTCACGCTTTCACGGGCCGGCCAAGCGGCCTACCTTCAAAAGTCAGGGGCTCTCAAACCAGAGAGTGAGCAATACTTTTGAGACGTAATGCTCTCAAGAGAGACTATATTTATGTACACTAGTGCCTGCTTCCAGTTTGGCCCCTGAATCCTCTGGAATGAACCAGGGTTGGTCTCCATGCCGAACGGCATCCTGGTCCTATGATGCAGTCCGTACTCAGTGGCGAACGCTCTCACCCCTTCGACTTCTCTTCGAGAGGAACGGACCAATAGGTCGCTCTTTGGTCCAGAACTGAAAAGTACCGAGCAAGCCTTGATGTGGGACCGTCTCCTACATCAGCCAGATGAATGAAGTTGGGAGTCAAATCGAATCATCTGTCCTAATCCCAATCGAAAATCTATGGGGAATCATGAGGGAGGACCTCAGCAAGATTGAACCAGCTCCCACAGAGAACGGACTTTAGAGGAACCTGTGAGAGGTGTGGCTGAACATCAGCGCGGATACTCTGGACATCTTGATCTATGGAAGGCCAAAGCGGATGAGGGAATGGATATGACAGGGCAGGGGATAAATCGGTAAATAAACCATGTCCCGGGGGCTCTTTGTTTATTAATTATGTCGGCGAATTGATGGAGGGGCAAATAATTTCCGGACACCCTGTACAAGACTCTTGCAAGAGCCTTGTACTGTCTGTCTTAAAAGCACCGTGCAAGGTAACGGTGGATCCATCAAGCCTGACCGAGGAAGGGCCTGCTATAATTTGAAAGTCGCCGAACCAGTTGGCCTGGGGAATGGACGAGGATGTCCATTGTTTCGGTGACTCAAATTTAGCAGTCCTTTCTCGGTCAGGCTTGATGGATCCACCGTCACTTAGCGCGGTACCTCTAAGACAGACTGTACAAGGCACTTACATCATACACTGATCTGATGTGACACACTACTCGGCCCTGGCCATCCTGGCTCGGAGCAGTTTCACTTCGTCACGGAGTTTTGAACACACTTAGTGCGCACATCGCTGGGCGATATCCGCATCTTTCTGTCGAGGAATTCTGCGGTAAGACGGATGCTGCAAGAAAACCTGACAATGTAACTTTAACCCTCGCCCATGTAGGGGGGGGGTTGGTGCAACCCCCCCCCCCTCAGACTTGTAAACGACTCAATTTTTTTTTGAGTCGATTCTTTGTTTGAGTCTGGAAATTTGAATCGATTCATCAAACGACTCATGATGTTAAATTTATTTGATTCGAATCAACTCATGACTCATCAAGTTCCTCGATAAAATGATTCGAATCAACTCATGACTCGAGCAACTAGCCAACGGAATTATTCAAATCAACTCATGACTCACACATTTTGATGAATCGATTCAAATCAACTCATGACTCACACGACATTTTTATTGAACTTATTTCATTCAACCCATGACTCACTATAGGCATTTGTTGATTATTTGACTCAAAGCTATGATAAAATGAATATGCCGCATACCACAATTGTATTAAGCAGCATAGTAGCCTTGACCAAAGATTCAAGCAGCTACCTAGTAGGACTAGGTACATAGGTAGGTAGGTACCTACCTTACACCTACATATCTTCAACACTCAACAGTCAACAGTGGAATGTCAGATAAATTTGTTAGTAACTCTGAGACAATTATAATATAAGTAAGGACTAAGGAGTAGCATAGTAACCTATCTCTTATTATTACCTAGAAAGTCTTATTTGAAAATTCAAAAGCACAAGTTCCGAGAGGCATTCATGTTTTTTTTTTATCAAACTTTTTCTACATGATGATGAGACAAATGTTACTACTTCTTACTTATCAGATAAAATTATTCAAACAGTACATCCGTCACTTACCATTTATGTTGGCTCAACGTGGAGATCAAAATGAAGGAATATAAAAAATATTGTTAGTCTACAATTTTAGATTAAAAATGACGTCATTGAATATTAATCGATATCAGGAGCACCGGGGCACTGACCAAGTGGCTCTTTTGGTAAAAATAAATTGTCATTGGTGCAATTCGGGCAACGTCATTCGGCCAATTTGTCACGAGATTCAGACGTGAAAGTATCAACTGCGCCATTAATGTAGTTTTCTTAAAACATACTATGACTTTCACATTCTATTCTCGAATTCATGATGTCACTCATAGTACATATTTTAGGCGAATGGAGATCGCTGAGGAAATATTTCAAAGCCGCTCCTTTACATTATTCTGAAGATTCTATGATGTCATAAAACAAGTTTCTTTTTAAACTTCTATTTCATGGAAAAATGAGCATTTTGTGGTTTATTGGCAGTTGAGCATCGCAATTTTGCGGTTTATAGGTGAGTTTA